CTTCTGACATCAGTGTCCCTTCTGACATCAGTGCCCAGCAAGCCAGGACCACGCTGTGTTAGACCTGGGACCTGCGCACACTCCCAGTTTAATCAGCTACAGCTAGGCGGGATTTACTGTGACCAGGGTCCATCTGTCACCTCTGCAGAGGGCCCACCTGGAACCACTCTCATCTCCTGCAGTTTTTGTGTGAGATACATAAGGAAATCAAGTCCCTTCCCCACTCTGATTTCTCAATCAACTTTGGTCCAGGACTCCCAAAAGGTTCAGTCATCATTTGCACCCACACACCAACCTTACGATTGGACTCTAAGAGGTAAGAACTTTCTTCTTTAACCCGTTCCATCTCTTCTTGCAGTGTAATAATCCTGTTGTTTGCAACTGCAAGCTGTGAACAAAACAGAACAATGGTAACATACCAAAACCATAATGAACCTTTTTTTTCTCCTCTCCAGACACATTGTCTGCACTCTTCCTTTACACTCTAGGCAAGCAAAAGAATATTTGGAGTGGCAAAAGACAACTCAGCCTCTACCATGGAGAAAGACTACCTGAAAAAGCATTAAGTGGTGCCAGTGGGACAGACTTCCAGTATCAGCTAAAACAGAGACTTCCGAACCTATTTTATTCATTGCCTTTCAGGAAAGTTACTGGTCCCTTCATGTATCAGCGCCTGACCGACTCTGTACCAACATGGTCAGCGCAACTCAACAGAAATCTTCACTCCATTCCCCTTCCCCTGCCAAAGATAACAAAAAGGACAACGTGAGCCCACGGCAGGTAACTTTGGGTGACTTCCAGCAAGTGAAATATATTACCAGAGAAGAAACACCCACATGGGTTTCCTAAAACTTCAGCAGTTTGGGTACACTGCTAGGTAGCGTGTCTGAGATGCGGGATGCTCGTACGTTTTTGGGCAGGAGAAGCAGGAGGAGAGCCTCATCACAGGAGGGAGATTTGGCTGGAAACAGAGGATCAGTAGCACAGACCACCCTTCCAAGACAGGACATCTGCCTCGCAAGAACTCCCAACGAAGACATCACCGCAGACTAACAGATTGCTTGGAGAATGCGGTCAAAGCCAAAATAACTCCAGAGAACTCCTCCTGGCTTTGTGCATCCGAACTTATGTAAGCCTTGCACGCAAGAAAAGCTCAGTGACATTCTGAGAAGTCAGCGGTGTCACTAAGTGACAAACCCAAACAGAAATTACCCTGATAAAAGTGCAAGTCCTTGGTACGGCTCAAGCCAAACACACAGACTGATGTGATGTGACGCAGCGCATGCACTGCGCCCTGCAAATAGCCCTGCTTGGCACAGCGTGTTCCAGCGTCACTTAAGTTCTTCCTCTGAACAGCCTGCAGACCTCACTACGACACGAGCAAACACCTCCTTCTGAATCCAAAAACACTTGGGTCAACAGGGCAATTAATCTCACAGGCACCATGCCTGATGGGCACAGCACTGGTATGCTGCAGGTAATCAGTCAAAAGCCTCATATTATAGCAGCGCTGAGAAAGGCAGCCTCTGCTCCACACCACCTTCTGAAAATCTAAAAAAAATGTATTTTAACTGTAAAAGATATTTCTTACTCCTTAATTGCAGGAGTGGGCATGCTAATTCCCTCCGCTAAACCTTTTAATCTTTTGGAACACATTAGTTAATGTTCCATAAGCAGACACACCACCCCCCTTTAACGAGGGCCAGCAAGCGAAAAAGAAGTTCTATTTCATATTTGTACTGCGAGAGGCTGAGACATCCCAAATCAGTCTGTAGACAGAGACACTGAGTTAGGATGGGACATACTATCAACCATCTCTGGGGGAACTGACCCGGAAGACTGTATTGCTTTTATGCCATTACTCATGTACAGCAAGGCCAATTCCAAACCACAGGTTACACCCGCGACTCCCACTCCCATGAGCCACTTCTCATGCTCAGGCCGAGCATTTCACCTCTGATGCTGGTTTTTCCCTTTATTTCTGGCAAATTGCGACAGGCTAGAGAAAAAAGCTACGGTACCATTTCAGTCGCTATCTTTACACTCTAGTTAACTTTGGCACCCGTCAAAAGAGACATTTAACAATTGCTTTGTTGTGTGTGGACACGTCGTAACCTACGTCAGCTGAGCAGCACTCAAAACGACACCCACAGCACAGTTTATTCCAAGCCATTTTCCAAAACTCAGAGCGCACCCGAAGGCTTCAGAGGGATGAACTGCCTTCAGCTGCTTTTGGTTTTTCACATAAACATTTGCTTGCTTTTTCCACCTCATGCCCAGTGAGTACCGACAGCCAGCGTAATTCCCTGGCAGATGAGTTATTCCAGTTCCGTCGTTAAACACTCATCACTACGTCCACAGGAAATCTGAAAATAATTCCACCCTTACCCTTTTAATGCCCCCTTCCAAAGGCCAAAACATCAGGTGCCTGTCTATCACACTCACCTCCTCAGTCAGTTTAGTGTTGGATTTTTCTAAGGCATCCACCTTGGCCTGTAGGTTGTTTACTGTAGCGCTGTTGAAGAGAAGAAGGAAAACCCTACAGTAAGCTTTCCTTCTATAAAATCCAGTTTTCTGTTTTCTTGCATATTTTGTTACAAAAAAGAATAAACAAAGCACATCTCACCTTAAATGTCTGTTGAGTTCTTCTACATAGTTCTTCTGGTCCAAAATAGCAGTTATCTGACCATCTCTGCAAAAAAGAAACATCATGTGGCTCACCATTGGGATTCAAAGAACTAAGAGACACCATTAAAGGTCTTAAAGGAAATGTAGCGACAAACAGCCTGTGTTTCTTTTCCAACTGGAGAATTTTTTCATTTTCTAAGGATGCTACGGTGCCAAAAATCAAGTGCTATCCTGCTAGCCGTACAATGGGTGAAGGCTACTAAGCTGCTGCCCAAAAAGGCTTTAAAGAATGGCAGACCTCACTAAGCAGAGGGTCACCTTCAAAATACATTTATCTCCAATTGCCAGTTAGGAAGAGCACACAGCATTTCTGGGAGACTTGTCTTTTTCCCTGCCTCCTCCCAGTATTTCTTATATCTTATTTATATATTATGGTGTATTATAGAAGAGCAATTCAGCCTAAGTAGCTTTTTAATTATAACAGCTTGCAAGGCAACCTGGAATACCTGAATACAAGTTCGAGAGCCAAGAAGCAGGACAACTGTGTGTGCACCTACCCTTCACTGCCTTTCGTGCTGTTCCCATCTTTCAAATACATTGAGAAGTCAATAACTCCAACCTAGAAAAAGAAAAATTTGCGTTTCACATTTAACATTTTTTCTAACGCTGTCCACAGTCGGGAGAGTTTAGAGTCGTTCAGTTAGAACATAGCCCACACTGCATTATAGCAAGGATTCGTTATACCAGTCATCTGTCCAAAATTAATGAAAACACAGCGTGTTTTAAGCAAAAACGTAGTAGGGCAAGCAGCAAGTTGGCAGGCGAGTCTTCAGACATAAGGACAGAACATGACCATCACCGTATCTGTACATGCACTGCTTCTGCAGGCTGGAACGTAAGTGCATACAGGCTGTTTGAACAGCTACAATGATCTCATCACACAGCATGGGGGAATTCACAGTTCTGTCCCTTTCTCCTGTCATTTTGGCCAAGTCCTTCTCCGTTTGCGCCTCCTTTTCCATTTACTATATTCCACCCTGCAGTGACCTGCATGTGGACCACAGCAAGCCCAACAGCAAAGAGAAGCCCAAAATCCCAAGCCCTGATCTCAGTGACGGCAGCCAACCAAAGAGCACAATGATAACAGCAAGCTTTTATTAGTCTTCTGTTAAGTAACAAACTTGTATGTCAGTCAAAAAGGTCCTCTACAAAGGAAAATTCTTCCCATTTAAATGAGCAGAACAACCCCATTAACTGAATACCCAGTACCTGTGAGTCCAGGTCTTCTCCCTTCATGCAGAAGTTGGCATCGATGACATTCAAACCTACTAGGAGGCCAGCGATGATAGCACCTTCTTCTTCCATCATCAGTGCATTAGGCTCATAAAATTCGCTGTGGGATGATGCAGGGCAAGAGAAGACAAATGCTGTGTCTTTAAAAGTCAACTGAAATGATGTCAACTAGCACAGGTCCCTGCTGTTTCATGTGACAACAGAATGCAAGCTCAGCCTCAACAAAAGCCCAGGCAGCGGCACACAGTCCATGCAGAAATGTGCTGCTGCGTGCTCTCAGGGCACTCCTGCTCTGACTGAACAAATCTCTCCCAGCACAGGAGGTGCTTCGGTGAGGCAAAAAGCCACCAAGTAGGTGACCTGGTCTCTCACTGCTGAAAGGCAATGGAAAGTAAGCAGGACTCTTGAGTAAGGGTACAGCACTCTGAGGGTTTAAGACTGGGGCTTAACATCAGTTTTTAAGTAGCATACTTCCACTCCGTCACGTACCGTTATTAACACAAGCGACCACCACATTTCCCAGTGGACAATGCCATGTTCTCCTCTCTAACCCTAAGTCAGCTATGGATTAGGGGTTAGACACCCAACAAAAACCTACTTGTTTGAGTAAAAAACACCACCACAGTCATTTCATCTTACTGCTTTGCCCAGGCATCGCAGCTCTAACGCATGGACTTTCAACTGAACTACAAAATTACTGTGAGTGGGAAGCAGAGATACAGAGAAGTGACATGACTTGTAGAAGGTAATGAAGTGAGAAGGTCAGAAGTAAGTCCAGGGCCAAGACTTTGCAGACAGAGAATGCTGTATCTCCTCTGTACAAGTGTTTCACCCACACCATCTCTTTGGAACCAAAATTTGGGTTTATTCTAATGGATATTTGCGACAAAGTGAAGAAATAACAGCTTCTGGATTAAGAAAGAATACTAAACGCTTTTAATCCCTCAGAAGCAGCTCTGCATTCCATAAATATTGCCATTTCTCAAAACAGTACACACACACTTTACCACCTGGGCGTAAAAGATCATGAAGACCTTACAAGAGGGCAGAAGTGAACCTAACGTAACCAAAGAGCGAGCTCAGCGCTCACCTGAGAAGATCCTTTCTGTTAATCAAGGCTTTCATGTATTCTGAAAGTTTCTTCTGCATCAGAGCCAGGCGAAGCCAAGCTCTTCCTCTGCCCACAGGAGTCCTGCAAAGGCCACAAACAAGGCAGTTACGGACACGTCACAATGCACATTCACAAACAGCTCTAATAATCCTATTCCACCCAAAGTTTCTATATCCCAACGACAGAACTGGCACTGACGAAAGACAGGAAACACCAAGGAATTTAAGTGCAAATAGTTTCAGACAAGTCTATCTAAGCAATTACGTATCTGTTGTTACACTAAAAATACTTCTCTGACTTTGCCCCGGCTGGCTGCTACTACACAGACAGCGGCTTCAACACATCACCTTCTAATTCAGAATCAGTTTTGCATAAGGCAAACCGGAATAACGTGTCTACGCTCCCATTCAGCACAAAGGGCCAAGCACCACCCCTTCAGGTAGGCGTTAAGTTAGGTGAGAATCCACAAAGACAGCTGAAAACCCAAACTCAGTACTGTTCTCTTCCGCTGTCGTGCTCATTAATACACTCACAGGATGCAACGGGTTGTAGTCACAGTCCTTCCCCCGCTGTTTCTCCTGGCAATCTGAGGCACACAGCTTTAAAAATATGGTGACTGATAGGCTGCATCACAGCTCTGGCTCGTCCACCCTGACACGCTGGCCAGCAGCCAGCAGCAGATGCTCCCAAGGAAGGCGTAAATCCTCTGCGTTGAGCGGTATTCCAGTTGGAAGGAAATTTCTTTTCCATCTCCAACTGTCAGTCAGCTGTCTTACACCAAACAGCACAGGGGGCTCTTTGTTTTCTAACCTTAACTGGTACAAGCAGCAACTGCCCTTGAACGTCATCCTCGTTACTGCCCATTCTTCTTAGAATCACAGCATGGTTTGGGTTGGAAGGGACCTTAAAGACCATCCAGTTCCAACCCCCCTGCCATGGGCAGGGACACCTTCCACTAGACCAGGTTGCTCAAAGCCTCATCCAGCCTGGCCTTGGACACTTCCAGGGATGGGGCATCCACAGCTTCTCTGGGCAACCTGTTCCAGTGCTTTCCTACCCTCTCCAGGAAGAATTTCTTCCTGATATCCAATCTAACCCGCCCTACTTTCAATTTAAACCCGTTACTCCTTGTCCTGTCACTAAAGGCCCCTGTAAAAAGTCCCCTCCAGCTTCCTTGTAAGCCCCCTTCTTCACCTCACTAATACATGACACAACATTTCCCAAGGGTTAGTATGATTGCACGGTTTAGAAACTTGTACTAAAGCTGTTCTTTATTTCAGTTTATGTAATGCTTCAATATTCTGTTACAACAGGAAAAGCTAACGGGAGCTCTGGCACGACACCGTTGGCCATCCACGCTGGCCCTGTAAGCTGTTCCAGGAGGAGCCCTGCACAGACCTCCAGTAAAAGCATTTGTCTATATGCACATCGCTAAACACCAACCCGAAAGAAAGCGTTACTGAAGGTATTATCTCTTCTTTCAGCCAACACGACTGCATCCTTAGTCCTGCTGCTAATAGAAAGGTTCCTTACGTCTTTCTCCTCAGAGGCTCAAAGCCGCTTACAGTTGCTTTTTAGCCTGGAATAAGCAAACCTGAATGCTATGTCTGAAATTATTATGAACTTTTTAAAGCAATATATGCTTAAAGCGGGTTTTTTCCATTCTCTCTTTGACATAAGCTCCAACTCGGTGACTGAGCTTCCCTTTTACACAGACTTTACAAGTTCACCTGACTTTACTTAAAAGAAAAATTACATCTGTCGGGCTGCAAAACTATTTAACTTGTAATCACCTTCCTTCCAATTCCCTTCCTCGTCAGTCTGACTTCAGAAACAGAGTCAGTAAAGGCTGTTCCCATTCCTGAGACACACCATCCCTTGTTTAGTGCTATCAATAAATGCACTGTTGTCAATGAGACCCAGTGCGCCTAACACAGGAAGAGTATTACCTATCCTCTCCTTCTGCATTTCCTTGATTAAGAATAAAAGAGATTAAGGACCCATTTTTATTAGCAGAAGGTGGCAGATGTATTCCTGAAGGCTATGTTTGCCCTTTCTTTTCTTCAGGATCTTACATAATCTTACAACGAACACATTATGTACTTGTGCAGCAAAAGACTGTACTTACTTCAGCCCCGGGAGATCCTTAACACTTGCTGTAATCTCTGCAGCTTCAGGAACAAGTTTTTCTACTAGTTCTAGAGGTCCCCAAAATGACTTATTTTGCCCAAGAAAAGTCTTTTTGGCTAGAAAAGAAACAGATACAAAAAGAGGCTGTGAGGCCCATGCTGACTCAACACATTCTCAGAAGGGGTCAGAAGTGAACGAGCAGTAGACAACCATTGCCAGAAGCTGCTGGGCAAGTACCGATGACAACTTTTTATGCCCCAGCGTGGCAGTTACAGGTATCACTCAAACAAAGCAACAGGAGCTCGAGACAAATGCCAGAAAATATTCCACACATCCCAAACGCGTCAAAACAACAGCATTGCCTGACAACCAGCAACTTCGATTCCCTGCTAGAGGTCGTTATCGCTACTGGGATGTCACTGTCCCTAAGCTACACCTGCGGCATGCACAGCAATCTTCTCTCGCTGACCATCACATCACGAGGAAAAGGACCACACCACTTGGAACCCGCTCCTTCTCCATAGCGGTGTGGGGCTCCCCTGGGCATCCTTCCCTCCTTCCAAAAAGCTTTCTGAAGACCCCTAGGTATTAAAGCTGGAAATTAATCATCTTCCACAGTTCTTCCAGCTGCTTCACAGCGGCAGCGAGAAGACACGAGAACTCTGTTAACTTCAGACACGACCAGCAGCAGGGACACTGGCGAATGGATAAACAAAGCAGCTGAATGACCTCTCCTTTGCACAACCTTACCCTAACCAGCAGGGGAGTACCTTCTTCCCCGCGTAATGCTGCACACGACTATTAAAGCAGCACAGTAGGATGTATGACCGGGTGCTGAGAGGGCATTCAGCAGCCTCCGCTTTTCATCTCCAGCTGCTGTCACACAAGGGCAGCACACCAGGAAAAGCAGACTGGCACCTGACAGTTTTAGTTGTGATTCCGTATCGTACAGTTAAGTATATGCTCTGCTCGCTGCTCGAAAAAGCAGCTTACAAGACACGAGCTGCACAAAGCCAAAATCCTCAGTTTTGACAGAACTATTGAGGAAGGACCTCCGTGTCGCAGTTCCTCTTCCAGCAAGAGGAACGTTGCGTCCCTCGGGCATGAGGAAGTGCAGGAAAAAAAAAAAGGAGTCATGAGTGTGCTGAGGAGCTAATTTTATCACTGATCACTCAGCTATACTCAAGTTATCTGACAAGCTGTTTTAAAAATGGCAAGCACCTGCAACAACCGTGAGCTTTTCACCTGCACGGTGGGACTTTCCACAGATTTTAATTTCCCTTCCTGTGGCCCGTCAAGTCACCGGTGATCACAGCAGTGACCTTGCTCAGCTTCTCTTTAGTCTAACAGATTACCAGACCAGATTTTTAAGACAAGATTGCTCTTTCTCGCTCCTGCGCTATGGCCAACAGCCTGGGAGGACTCCTCTCAAGCCAGGTTACCTTTCAAGCCGTGTTTAAGGCAATGTTCCATCACAACGAAGAACTGCTGAAGAGGTGCATAGTCGGAGTCCAGCGTCCTGCCCAGATTAAGCGCTGATTCAATCAACCCTTTGATACTCAGTTTCGCCATGTTCATCAGGTTCATCCGTTCATTAGCCATGAGATAATTAGGATCTATAAAAAAAGGAAGAAAAATACCGCTGAGTAACAAAAGCTATTTTTAATACAATAAAATACCCCATACTTCTCTCTTTTTGTTCCCCAGCTTTGAGGACGTTTTAGGGGCAGCGAGAGTTTCATGCGAGGCACTCTCTTCAGGCCTTTTGTTGAGAAAATTCAAAATTAACGAGCATTTTATGGCCGAAGCAACAATGACACAGGAACCGGTGGTGTAGCCCATTAAGGCTGCCTCCATAATTCAAGAAACTACAAAAACTTTACATTTTCAAGAAAGAGAAGTTTGAAGGCCGCTGTTAACGTTACCTGTGTAACACACCCAGGCCAACCCTACCCTTCCACGCAGCGCTTCTCTGCCCAAACACCGCCAGCGCGTTTCCCACACCTCAGGAAACCAACCCGCTTACAACAGTTCTGTCCCGTGACTAGAATGAAATTGTCCTGCCATCCCCACAAATAAAGTCTTCTTTAGGCCTGGAGGCACGCAGTAATACCGAAAAATTCTGGCTACTAAAATGATGTTCCATCAGTCACCAAGTTTTCTGTTTCCACCTGTTCCACCTGCAATCACACACCCAGTTTCTGAGCTGCTGTTCTGTGGCACCAGCAGCTGCATCCCTGTAAGGCACGCTGCTTCTAGGGCCGCTGTGAACAGCCAGGGACCCTTGAACCCACCTTCACCCGCTGTACTGACCAAGCATGCTTGCACTTAGCAAACAAGTAAAGCGAATAAATACCGGACTGAAAATCTTCAACTGGAACAGAAGATCTATTTCCGTTTAACGTGCAGGGAGCACAGAGCTGAGTTGGATGAAATGAGGCCATAAAAATGTCTAGAAATCAAAGCAGTGGAAGAAGGCTGCTCCTTTTGCCTCGGTGGCGTACCCACCAGCGATGCTCACCACCCCCAACGAGCTCTCAAGCTCTTTCAGACTCTTGGGAGGCTCTGTCTCTCCAACATACAGACAGCTGAGATGGGTTCAGCTGTCTGTATGTCCAACATACAGACAGCTGAGAGGCATTTCCCCTTAAACACCTCTGATGATGAAGGAGGAGGGGAAGATGCAGCCCTCATCCTCAGTGCATCCAGCCCCTAAGCGAAGACTCACACAAGTCTGGGTTCGCATTCAGCAGGTCTGCCACTGAGCAGATCCCAAATCGCTACTAGGTAGGTGGACTTGAGCTGTCTGGGTCGTTAACAGTTCTCATCTTGTCAACCCTGCTATGAAGAGACATTTCTTGCAATTTAAAATCCAACAACTTCGAGGCCCAGGGGTATGTTTTTCTGAGACTACTGCAGCGTCCTGTAGGATTTGTCCTGATGACACAAGTCACCACCCTGCTTCATCGTGATGCTGGCGATTCCAGCTGCTCAATACAAACTCCGTCATCTCAAACGTACTGCCAGTACAACCACAGAATCATGGAACAGTTTGGGTTGGAAGGGACCTTAAGGACCACCCAGTTCCAACCCCCCTGCCATGGGCCGGGACAACTTCCACTAGACCAGGTTGCTCAAAGCCTCCTCCAGCCTGGCCTTGAACACTTCCAGGGATGGGGCATCCACAGCTTCTCTGGGCAACCTGTCCCAGTGCCTCACCACCCTCTCCAGGAAGCACTTCTTCCTGATATCCAATCTAACCCTCCCCCCTTTCAATTTAAACCCATTCCCCCTTGTCCTGTCACTACAGGCCCTTGGAAAAAGGCCCCCCCAGCTTCCTTGTAGCCCCTTCAGGCACTGGAAGGGGCTATAAGGTCTCCCCGGAGCCTTCTCTTCTCCAGGCTGAACAAGCCCAACTCTCTCAGTCTGTCCCCATGGCAGAGGGGCTCCAGCCCTCTGATCAATGATCAACTTCTCAGCAGCCAAAAAGAGAGCAAGGAGCTAAACTTGACAGACCCACAGGAAAAATCCCTTTGTTCCCACTTCCAACCCTTGATGTCTCCTTGCAGGTGGAAAAGCACTGCAGGCTCAGTAGCCAGTGCGAGTAAGATTTGATTTCAGTAACACATGGCTGAATCCAAAACAGGCAAGAGGAATGACTGCCACTCCTCATGCCAGACAGAGGAGGCACTGAAAGGCACCTCAGGGCTGGGAGAGAAAAAGCAACTACTGAAGTGGAGACACAAACGTCCTCAGCCAAAAAATCTGAGAAATTATGGAAGGGAATCAAAAGAGAGCGTTTGTGAAGCCTGGGAACAAAGATGGAACAGCTGAACCTGCCTCTGAAGCATGCCATCGTCAGGTTCCCATGGCTCCGAGGCCAGCTGGCATCCAGGCTGGTGAAGTCTCGCTATTGCTGCTTCTGTGGGTGCCTTATCTGCCGGAGGACAGGCTGCTCGTATCAGGGATGCTACCGATGACTCAAACAAATACTAAGGAAAGACCTAGCGCCGTGGCAACAGTGTTAACAACGCTCGAGCACGCAGCATTAGAAAAATCCACAGAACGGGGAGAGTGCTGGGTCAGGGCAGCTCCCACCACTCAAACCCCGTGCCACCGCTGCACTGGTTTAGTCTCTCCAAAGGCAGGTCAGGACAAGGCCTCCCTTACTGTTTCTTCTCCAGGATGAAGCAGTAGCAGAAGTCTCCTTCTCTGAACTTCACTGGAACCGTCCTGGCAGCTACAGCCGCGGGCGGCTGAAGGCGGGGAGGGGGAGAGCGGGAGCGTACGGACGGCGCTAAGCAATGCCAGCTGGAACCGCCGTCAGTTGGCGGCCACCAGTCTCGCTGTGCTCCAGGCCACATCTGCTGCCACGGACAAACGCCTTCTTGTTCAGAGAAGTGGCAAACAAGTCCGGGTGTTCCTCGGCCTCCACCCATTCTTCTACTGCTGCAGGACAGAGTGATCAAACCCCCCGACAGTTTTGTTGTACTGACTGGATGCTCTTCGAGCTCTGATTGTCTTGGTTCACATCTTGTAAGCAGGTTGAGATGGGACATTCAAAGTCTATTCTCATAGTGTAGAAAACTTCCAAGTGCTCTCATAGTTTAGAAAACTTCAATGCTGCTATGAGAATTGCATTCCCAAATGAGCACTTGGGACTGCAGAGGTTTCATTTAGTGGGAACTACTACTATTTCAAGCTGGCAGATCTGGCACGTACACTGAGCGGATTACCTGTCCTGTGATTCACAATCCGGTTTACGATTCGCAATGTAGCTAACAGTCACCGGTACCAGGAATGCAGACTCGGAAAAAATGTCAAGCATAACTTCACCCACAATTGCAAAAGCCAATTTTTGTACATGTAATTAAGTAATCTTCTGTGTATTTTCTTCCATGTACTTTTGCATAAAACTCACGAACACCACCTCCAACAGCATCCGTCACACTTGTCCTTTATCACAGCATCACAGAACGGTTTGGGCTGGAAGGGACCTTAAAGACCATCCAGTTCCAACCCCCCTGCCATGGGCAGGGACACCTTCCACTAGACCAGGTTGCTCAAAGCCTCATCCAGCCTGGCCTTGAACACTTCCAGGGATAGGGCATCCACAGTTTCTCTGGGCAACCTGTCCCAGTGCTTCACCACCCTCTCTCCAGGAAGATATTTTTCCTGATATCCAGTCTAAATCTCCCCACTTTGAATTTAAACCCATTACCCCCCTTAAGAATATATGAACATCACTACAGCACTTGCTCCTACTGCAGACAACTACCTTCACCAGTTGGTGTATAGCTCTGGTACTGAGAATCTGCTCAGAACCAGTTTACCTTGTAAAAAACCACCAACCCTCTCCCTTAATACTTCCGGTACCTGCCATGACTAAAACCAGCACAGTACCACAACTCCATCTACAGTATATCCATGCTTCTCACCAAGCAGAAAAACCAACAAAAACCTCTAGTAGGTTTGAATTACCCGAGGCAATGTTTATATGTACCCTCAAAAGAGTAAGGAGCTGTGGTTAAGGAAACAAATGCCCTACTTTTCTTTTTAATTTAACCATGTCATGAAGTCTGGGTTGAACACGATTATATGTGCCTGGCCAGGCTCTGCAGAGAAACTCCTGTGCACAGGCACATCGAGCATGATCTCATGTCTGAGACCAGACCCTTTTGAAAAGCCGAATGTTTGCCTCCTGGACAGATCTAGAAGCTTTAAGACTTGACTGAAACCTTATTAATAACCACAGCTTCTTGCCCTCCTTCCCTATGAGAGGAACAGCAAGGCGCAGGAAGATGCAGAGACGTCCTCTCCTCTCTAATCAAGGCATTTCTGCACGGGCCGAGGTCCCGCAGCAGCATGCCCAAAGCAGCAAAGCCAGGAGCGGTCCTGCACCCGCTGCCGGGCGGCTCGTCGGTCCTGCCAGTAGCAGAGCGGACACCCCGGTGACTGCTGAGCTGGTGAATCAGTCGCTAAGGCAAAATTAACATAACCGTACACGACAGCTATGTGGAAAATGTCTCTTGGGCTATGGTTATGAGCTCATCGGAATTACGGTAGAGTCCAAGGACACTGCTCAGAATTAAGGTCCTACTCCCTGAAATACTCACAGGAAAACATTCACATTTCTGATGAGTACTGAGAGTTGCTGCCCCACACAGACCTATTCTGAGCTCATGGGTATGCTTTTTGAGGCAAGGCACATGGTTTTCCATGAGACCAAGGGGTCTGTGACTGCTGCGTGTCAATGGGGGTCCGTACTACCCTAATTAGAAGAAAAAACACCACAAGCAAACAAGAACAAGAGAGGGGCGTATCAAACTTGTTCAAGACTAGGTTCTTCCAACACTGTTAAGCGCTAATGAACATCTGAGCTGATGAAAGCACTTAGGAAAAAAGAAAAAGCAAGGCTATGATTTCATTTGAGACTAATATGTGCAGTCACAGTCTAAAGAACCAAAAAATGTTTTCAGCACATTAGCTAATTACAGGTTTCTGCTTCATTAGTCTGTTGTGAGAATGATGATGCTGTGCAAATGCAGCTTATCTCAGATTCTCATCTTGCATACTGATTAACTGTTATATAGTATGAAAACGGATAAAATCCCAAAGATTTATCCCCAAAATTAAATCCTACGTAATTCATGCCATTGTTACGTACGCTGCAAGATACACACCTTTAACACTGGGTCTAAAAGAGCAGGGTAAGCAAGCAAAGAAGACTTGTACACAGTAACACTAACTGGCTGGCTTTAAGTCAAGCCAGACACCTTCTGTTTGGACAAGTCTAACTCTGATGTGCAATTTCAATTCTCAGTTTGACTCAGGATCTTCTTCAACTTCTGCCTCTAACGGCAAAAACTCTACCTGTGTTTTACTATACATGCCATGTCATAAACCTTAAAAAGTCAATTCTTGGCCCTTAAACTTTGCCTTTGAATGTAGCTTGGATTTCAATCAAGTCATCTTAAGTTCTCAAGACACTTTGCTATTTAAAAACTGTAGCTTCTACAGAACAGACACTTTTCCAAGCCAGCAGCCTTGCACATGGGATGGAAGCGGTCACGACTGAACTGGACTCGCACCCCACTAAAACTGCGGGGTAAAACCATCAGCTCATCTGTTTCCTGACAACACTGAACTCCCTGGATTCTAAAGAGGTAGAACTGTACCACAATTATTCACATGCTAACAGCACAGCAAGCAAAGGCTTCCTGAGAACCTTCCATGAAGACATTTTCAAAAGCATCCAAGGACCTCAGGAAGCCTGTAATTTGTTTAAAGGGTAGAATATGTACCTAGAAACCCAAAAGTCAAGAAAAAGACACTGCAATCCTGGATCTCAAAGGGTTAAGTTGTGACTGTGGTCTAAGTACTTTGCACCTGATGACAATTAATTTTATTGCTCCTCAAATTAAATTACCCTAAAAGAATTAAGAAGAAGCTAAACTAGAGCCATGAAATGCTGTAGGTATGAACAACTCTGATCAAAGAAATGCCAATTAATTAGTATTTCAGCCAGGTTCTCCCTGTACTGAATCCATCTTAAATCAGGAACACAAACTTACAGCAGTCTGAAATTTAGTAAGGCTGTTTCTGCGTACAGAAGAGAAACAGCATCTTGCGAACAGTTCCTACTGTGTTCAGACTGACCGAGATACATTAGCAGTGAAACTCCAGCTTCAAAACAAATTTAAAAGTCATAACTGTTCACAAGTGAAAAGCAGAAGCACGTCTGTTACTACAGAAATATGGTTTATTCTACTAATTTTCTGTTTCTATATTCAAAATTCAACCTATCTACTCGGAGGGACCATGGATAAACCGGAAAGCAGCTGGACTAATGCCACCTAACAAAAATGAAACTGCATTTCCTGAGAGAAGACACACTTTCACAGAGATTTTAAGAGATTGCTTCATCTGTTCTTGCTGTTACGCCCCCAGTGTTGAGGAGTTTTGAGGGGGAAAGCCCACTCCACATCAAGCATCCATTAGTCTCATCGATCACTGAGGAGGACAGTTTCCCACACACACCAGGCACCATAAGAGTATCAAAAAAACAGAACGGGGTGGTCACGAGCAACAAGGACACAGATGCAAAGCGACAAGACACATTGTCACACCAACATATGACGTCACATATATGTCACACACAAATATACGTGTCACACACAAATAAATGCTAAAAACTTGCACAATGTTTTATGGGGGAAAAAAAAAGTCTCAAACCCTTTTTTATCCCTTAAAGGCTGCTTGGATAGGCCCTTGGCTGGAGCTGCTGGGGAAGCAGATTTAGCTGTTGTGCCAGGAGGGAGAAGATCTCCCATGCCTGCTGTGTTCGTCTCAATCCTGCTGTGTTCAGACATGGACGATGACCAGCAAAAGATCGGTGCAGTTAATGCATCAAAGATAATTTTAGTGGACAACGCACCTTCTTTAAAAAGATTTATACCACCTTGAGTTTCCAAATATAAATAAAAATAACTGTTGCTATGTTATGGTTGACTTTGTTTTTTTCTTCTGCCAGAAACATGCTTAAAACTATTTGCACTGGATGGTTTTTCCTAAGTGGGTCCCAAACCTAGCAGCATTACTTTGCCATCCTTAACTGTCAGCTGATATTTTAGAAATAACCACAACTACGTATTTTAAGACAGGTGTAACCTTCACGGTGTTGCTCATACTTTACCCTCTACTTATAACCCTGAGCACCTCACTTAAACTCACCATTTTGCTTTACAACGTTTCATGGTTAAACTGCTTACATGTGCTGCAAAGAAACAAATGCAACTTTTGGTTAACCTCCCACCAGCGAGAATTAGACCAAGACTGAATAAAACACTGGTGAGAAAGCAGCCACCGTGGGATCTGCAACCCCCAACACCTTTAGAAATGTTCTATTGATGAATTGGCAGAAAGAGCTGAAATGCATCTGCTGCCCTTACTGCTTTGGGAGTATCAGCGTGAGAATAACAGGACTTCAGCTCCTAAGTCTTCCAGATATGAAGAACGCCAGCTTGAGCTTCTGATTTGATATTACTGTTTTCAAAGACCACGGTCTGTATAGAGAAATACCCCCACCCACCCTTCTACGCTGAAATCTGTGTTTTTCCTAACGATGAGCACTTCAACTTCTCAGTCACAGCAGGAAAATTCCCTTCTTACTCCCCTGCCCCCCCGAGGTCTATCAGCCTTTTGTGGTGCAAAGGTTCTCATCCCAGGCATAAACAGTTGTATCTCATCATCAGATCACAAATTTACTGGAGTGCAAGCCGAACTGAGGATTCAGCTATTTCACACTTGCACCATTTTTCAGAACCAAGTAAGAAGCACGATAAAAAAGATTCTCATTCAGTACTTCAGTACAAGTTTTAGTCAAAATTTGCAATACAACTTTTAGAGTCACTTCTGCCAAGTCTCAGATTGACAAAGAGAAATACTTGAGAAAATCTGAAGCTACAGGGTGATTTCTGAAATATTTTTCTTCTTCATTTAGCTTCCGTATATTCCTGCAACCTTTTAAGTTGTGTTTCTATCAGGCTCAGGAAAATAATTACCTCAGAAAGCACTGAATGAAAGTCAACTAGCCCCCCATTGATTCATCCCTTCTACCTCCACCTGAAGTACCCCAGAAAGGTTTGAAACTTTTTTTAAACAACATTGTGTGCACATATTTAAAAAAAAAAAAAAAGAAGAGATCAGCAAGAATTTAAAACACAAGAGTGATCACATGGAACCCATGAAGGGGCTGACAAAATGTATTTTAAAAAGCCTTCACAATAACCATTTAAAATGTAAATTAGTCCAATTGCAAGAGCAAAACATCCACCGGGGTGATCAAAGACATTTTCTTTAACACGCCAACAGCCGAAACCGAACATCCCCACGGAGCGCACCTAGCGCAGCGTGTTCTGGCTGCCAACCCCGTTCAACCAGCCCAGCCCGTTCGCACAGCCCCAGCTGCTGGCACTGGAAAGGGAAACTGCTGTGCACTCAGCCTCAAAATAATAAGGCAAAAGCCAATCATTAGCGAAAATAATAGCTGAAAGATGTTGGTGTGGCACGCACCTTCAGTATCATCACGCAATTGCTCCACCACATCTGTCAAATCCTCCCAAGAGTCTTTGCAAACAGCAAAAAGAAAGGAAAAGAAAGAAAATGTCATGCAAGCCGTGGTCTAAAGGAAAGATTCAAAATCAAGGTATAAGAAAAGGATAACTGAAAGGGAGATTTGCATAATACAAGACTTCATTCATAGTGGCGAAAGACATGCAAGTCAAAAGGGTTTATTAGTCTGCAGAAAGCGGTAGAGCAAAGCGTTTTTTTCCTCGGCAGCCCAATTAAGGTAGGCCTCAATGAAGCTTTGCTTCTTTCTGCGTTAAGGCAAGCAACATTTTTGTAAAGCATATCCTAAAAAGGAAAGCAAGAAAAGCATTATTTTGTTTGCAAGATCAAAGCACTGTTTGATATTTATACAACGTCAGCATTTGCTTCAATTCCCTCCTACCCAGCCCCAGAAAGAACCCCCCAACAGGGAAATACAGCCACACATGAAAAGCAAGGGCATCGCAGGAAAAGGGCACAGTGAGGACATTTTAAATTAGGTTAAACAGAGCTTGAACTCCGTTACGACCGTCACTCCAAATGCAGAATCCTGCAGAGGTGATCCAAGTGAGCCTGGCCATGGGTCACTGGTTAAGTGTCATCATTCCCACGATGATTCACTAAGGTCTCGGTCAGGAAAACACCCCTGTCTCCTTGCTGGGAGCCTGACAGGCCTGGGGAAGAGGTAGGTATCCTGGAGAGAAGCAGGCAGGCCCAGGAAAACCTGTTTCAGCACACCCACTAATCCCCTGCTTTCAGACCCCTAACACACAGCCAGCCGGAGCCCCGGAGGGTCCGAACCTGCAGCTCCCTACACTTACGTGCCCGCTCTCCCCGGCGCTGACCTGCAATCGGGCGCACGTCCGAAGCACAAGAAAGGTTCTATTCCCCCTCACAGGCCAACCGTGCCGAAGGACCGAGCAAAGTACACACGCTACTAGGACCTCCTCCCTCCCACGGAAAAGCTACGGCCAGCCTCCTGCTGCAGGAGCCAGCGCTGGCCAGCCAACAGCAGCCACTGCATGTAAAAAAGGCAAAAAAGCACCGTTCAAATACCAGTCCGACTAACAATTCGGCTTCCTCTGCTGCAATAGCACCGACCAAGAGTCCTCTCATCCTTTGGAACAGTTTTATTTGCGTAGCTGATATTCAGTGATCAGCTTTCTTCACCTAAACCAGCAGTTCACTTCCCCCCGGGGCGGCCAAGCGTCACCGCAGCGTGGAGAACAGCAGAAAACTACCATTCCTTGTGTCCTGCCCAGGATGAAGTGGTGAACTGCTTTCAGTTCAGCGGGGATTTCTCCTCTCCTCACCAGGGGTGAGGAGGGACAACAGACACAGTCAGGTCCCTCTCTACCTCTGCTTCCTATGGAGTTTTGCTGGAGCGTTCCCCGGCTGCTGCAAGAACAAAGCCCTGGTGATGTCCCCCCAGCCAACAGCTCCCCCCACGTGCTACCCTTACGGTTTCTGGTCTTTTCATACAGGTGCTACAAAGCTCCTTGAAGGCCCAGGAGACTTTCCATAGCCCACGGAGCGGTGGTGGAAGGACGCGTCTCTGGTGCTCTCCTGGACCCTACCGCACTCTTACCCTGGCTCATGGGTCACTCGCACCCGCTTCCTTTTTTTTTTTTAGGACTTCAAAGGCGGATGTTAGCGTGATGGAGAAATTCAGTATTTGTAGAACATGCTTTGCCTAATGAGATTACATGAACGAGCTAATACGGAGAGTATTTTCTGGCTCTATTTCCAGCGCTTGTGAAAACAAACCCGGCGAGAACCTAGCTGCACATGCAGTGATGTGTTTAATGGCAGTTTCCATCACCTGCAAAGATCAGAACCGGATTCCCTACCAGAATCCCCAGCTGCGTGCGGAGACTGAAGCCAGACATCATCGCTGAATGGTCTGTTATCTCATACTGAGCGTTTGGGCTGTTTCCCTAACCTAAAGTGTAACCAGCAAAGAACTTCTCATAACCAAAACCAGATTTACAGTTAGCTTAGGAACAGGATCTTTGTCCCTTCAAACTCCTCCCTACAACCTACACGCATGTGTAGCCTGCAATTACGTAACCTCTCCACCCCTCTAAACCTCTTCCTTTGCTCAGCTCCATAACCAAAACCCACACGAGACCTCCAGCCTACTCAAGCAGCTGTTAACAACAGATACTGAGGCTTGTACACTGAACTGGTTTTGCTCTCTCAGTACTTAGATTTTTTAGGGTTTTTTTTTAAATCACTTAATCCTAATCCAAGCCTGGGCTAGTACGTAACCTCTCCACCCCTCTAAACCTCTTCCTTTGCTCAGCTCCATAACCAAAACCCACACGAGACCTCCAGCCTACTCAAGCAGCTGTTAACAACAGATACTGAGGCTTGTACACTGAACTGGTTTTGCTCTCTCAGTACTTAGATTTTTTAGGGTTTTTTTTTAAATCACTTAATCCTAATCCAAGCCTGGGCTAGGTCAACCCAGCCCAAGCAGTGCAGTACCCCATCACACTGGGCATCTGGGCTACGCGGCACAGGAGGGCGCGGGAAGGCTCACAGACCGTGCTGGCTGTATCTGCACAACCACTACCCACCTCACTGGAAAGGATTAAGGCAGGTTTTTATTTATTTTTAACCCTTCCCAAACAATTCAGTTAAAGCTTACCAACAAACATCTAGTGGAGCCACCAGTATCTCCTTCTACTACATCCCTACAGGCAATAATCCTATTCCCTCTCTAGCCAGAGATGCTTGCAAGAACTGCATGAATTGATGGTGGCACAAAGGCGCTACGGGATTTGTACGGATTTAGAGGCAAAAACACACAGTTAATTAGCACTTTCATATTTTTGTCCATTTCTTCATGCATCTGTGGTTCCCATACATTTAATTTCTTCTTTTACATTGTAGTTTTCCTCACCTGTCTGGGATTTCCACCAAACAACACAGGGGAAGAAACTCCCAAAACTTAAGACATACGCAAAACAGACAAAAGAAATCACTAAAAGCTGCAACTTGAGAGTTTCCATGCTCCTTACCACCGTACATCTAAGGCAAACTCAATACTTCTGATTATTATGGAAAAATATTAAAGCCTGTAGCTGATGTGTACCAAGTTTATAAAACAGGATGACCAAGCCTTTTAAGTCTCCATAAAACGATTACCTCATTCCAACTAGATCCCCAGGAAGATTAGTATTATGGAACTGGATATCCCACCGGAATAAATCCACAAGCGAGTGCTTCACAAAGGCACTGGAGTACTTATTGTTCCCACCAATAAGAACGCCTAATCAAGTGGTGGCGATTAATGAACACTGAATGATCACATGCACTGAAATACCCCAAACAACTTTTCTTCCTAACATCATGTTCCTGCATTTGCTCATACCTTAATTTTTGGTTTCCTGTTTCTGACAGACATACGCAACCCCTAACAGTTCCAGCAAAACCTGGAACGACTCCGGCAGCAATAAGGGGTATTGCCAGTGGATAATACACTTTCCCATGCAAAGACAAGCTTTTAAAAATAAACCCAGGGAGAACATACAATCATCAAAATTATTTCACGCTGCTATTAAACACTTCATTATTATTTTTCTCTTTTTAAAGACTGAAGTTATTAGCTTAACATAGGGGTGGGAGTAGAAACTTTATGAATATCCCAAGCTACCACCGCACCTCTCCCAACTGCGCGCCGCAGTATCACGCTCCTACACCCCCTGGCAGCCCTCAGCACGGCTGTGGCAACCGTCAGATCCAAAGGCAACGCTGCTAAGAGGCGAGTTACCCCGCTACTACGAGGCGAGTTACCACGCTACTACACACCACTGAGAAAACACGCGACACGCAGAAGCTGAGTACGTGAAGGGGGAAGTCAAGATTGTGTCTGCTCACACTGTGGGCAGGACGGGGATAAAACCAGCATCCAATTCATGCTACGGGGTTTTTGAACGGGTCTCTCACGAGCAGAAACCTGCAGAAGTTCCCAGATATAAAGCAGAAGTGTCCCTGTGATACTTTTAATCAACCTAAACAAGCACCGAACGTGTGCCCTGTAGTAATCACGGAGACACTCCCTTAGCCCAGAACTGCCCAAACCCCTACACATTCCCTTCCAACAGCCGATACAGAATGCAGTCAGTAAGGAATCACGTGCAATGACCGTGATCCCCTCAAACACAGCATCTCAGCCTGTACTGGGATACCACCTACACGCAGGCTCCCATGGTTCGCAGTAAGCCTAGCAGCAGCCCCGCAAACTCCCCAACACACACCTTCCCAGGCCATCAATCTTCTGTCCACATCCTCTACTTTTATCAGTAACTACCTTGTGAGTGCAACTAGGAGGATGGAATGCTCCAAACTTCTTACAGAGCTATGGCATGTCTTCATGTGTAAAGAAGGACGCTCAGAGCAAATAAGGAGCCCACACATCCTTTTTATAGTTGCCCAGCATGACATGAGAATCAAGTTCCTCCAGACTAAATAGGTCAGGATAATTTTTTTTTTAAGCACGTAAGTTCTTAACAAGTGCATAAGGAGAAGCTGAGAAGTCAGTAAAATAACCCAAAAAAACCCCAAATCACCAGCACCAATTTTGGGAAGTGAATACTGAGCTTGATACAGAAAGTACTCGGCAACGGTGAAGCGTCAGTTATGCTGCTGTGCAAGGCTTGACCCCAATCTGCTAGCTTTTGGACAGAGCTTACAGAAAACAAGAGTAACCAAACAAGACTGCAACAAGACCAGGGTCCCCATGTTCTGTTTACCGCTAAGGAAAGAGGTTATTTTTTAAGCCTGCCACAACAGCAGCGGAGATAAACACCGAACACGGCAGCAGCCGAACGCCAATGCCAGGAAAGACAACTGGGCTGCATTCAGTCACGCACCAGCGTTCAACCCCCTCTGCTCCTGCCCGGTGACATGCCATCGCTGAAAAACATGCTGAGGACAGAAGAAAAAGAAAACCAACCGATGCATTTAAAGTGAGACCTACGAAAGTGCTGACAAGTTCGTTCGAACTGAAA